GCAGAGAGGGGTCCTCTGAGCGGCACAGGGGAGGGTGGGAGGGTTCCCGGGGCCTGCTGGAAAGGCAGTGTGGGCAGAGGTGAGAGCAAATGGTCCCGTTTCCTGAGCGCACCCTGGGCCGGGGCTAGAGTGGGACAGGCGGGGTGCTGTCCCAGATGGGTCCCCTGAGGGCTCCAAGGGAGACAAGGACATCTAATTCGCATGTGCTTCTCCAAACCGAGTGCCTCCCTGTGGGAAAGTATCCACCCCACCCCCCACCATTCCTTTACAGCCAGGTGGCACAGGAGCAGTCCAGGGTGCGGGGACAGGGGCACTCTGGGCACACACTGGCCTCTCCTGGTCTCTGCTAGGCCCCACATGGTGGAGGTGCCTGGGGCCACACAACAGAGTTGTGGTGCCAGACCCAAAGAGCACTTGGACATCAACCACAAAGACCGATTCCTGCCCCTCACCCCATTTCCTGGAAAGGGTGAGGGGTGGTCTCAAAGGCCCGCCGGGGCAGAGCAGCAGGGATCCCGCGCAGGCTCCAGGGAGCAGGGGCGGCCTGTCTCCTGAGGAGGAAATAGCGTTCCTGCCCCCCAGTCTGCGTGGGCCTAGGGGGGCACAGACCCTTGAGAAGAGGGGCTGTGAAGGATGGGGTGCCTCCGGGGTCTCCTCCAGCCTGGGGCCTTGCATCCCAAGCCACTGCCTGGGCCCTGGAACTCAACCCAAGGAACTTTGTTTCTCACTTTCCTTGAAGAGAAGCACCCAGGCCAGGCGTGGAGAGGGGCGGCGCTGAGCCTTGCTCTGGCCTCCAACAGCTGCCCAGCGAAGCCCAGGCCTCCCGGACCGGAAGCGGGCCCTGTGGACAGCCGAGTGTGCACGGTCACAAGGAGCTGCCTGCTGGGCGGCTGGAAGGTGGTCCAGGCAGTAGGGTTGGCTTGGGACGCACCCTGGGCATCAGGCGTACATGCCGGGTCTGGAGAGGACCAGGGCCCGGATCTCTGGACCACAGAGGCTTTCTGTCTACTCAGGTCTATCCCCAGAAAGCAGACCTACTGTGGGGCCCCTCATGCAGCCCCCTCTCCAGAGCGTTCCTGGATGCTATTAGCCCCCCATCTGTTCATTCAGGAATCCAGTCTTAAATCAGTAGCAAAGGCTTTGAGACTACCTCACTCGTTCATTCATTCTTTCACTCTTTGAGTCTGGGGGCTCCGCGGGGCCGTTGTATTTGGCCGAAGTTGTACAGGATGACTCCAGAGGGTGCTGCAGCCCAGGCCACGTAGGTCTGCTCCATCTTCCCCAAATACGCCTGCCTCATCCTGCCTGGCTCTCCTGTCCCCAGGAGTCTGCCAAGAGTCAAGTCTGGTCGTCTGATTTATAACAGGAAGCAGCTCCATCCCCTCCCCTGAGGCTGGGGCCAAGGTGGTCAGACTGTGGGGGCCTCAGAAAAATAAACTCGGTCCAGCCAGGTCCTGGCAGCCCTGGCCCCCCATGCCCATCACCAGACAGGCCAGCTCCATGCCCTGGCCCAGCTGCGTGGGCGCAGCCACCCTGGGCAGGAAAACCGCTCCTGGAATAACTCTGTCTGAGGTAAATGCCCCAGGACAGGGTCTGTGCCCTCGGCTGTCACAGCCAGGAGGAGCCCAGGCTGGTCCTCGGGGAAGCTGAGGAAGTACAGCCACATCCTCCAGGGTCCGAGGCCGCTCTGATCCTGCTCTTAGGAGCCTGAGGAGGAAAAACTAGGGTGCACATGGAACCCCGAGACCTGGGTCAGGGGCTAAGGCACCTCCAGGAAGCCCTGCTGGAGTAATGGGGCAGCTGTCTGCCCTGCCCTACGGGGTCTCTCAATCCAGACAGAAGGACCCTCGGGACCAGGACCCGTGACAGGGCCGGCGCTAAATGAAAACATGAGACCCCTTGTTCAAAAATGATTAAGAATTTCAGGACAGAGCACAACAGCCCTCTGAGAGCAGGGGCTCGTGTGACGCAGGAAGCCAGCCCTGCTCGGGAGACACCTGCCAAGTCCCGGGGCCTACAGGTTGTGCAGATGCGGAGCCTCCTGGCAGAGTCTCTGAGACACACCTGGGTAGATGGAGGCACGCCTGAAGTCCGGGCACCTCCCTGGGTCTGAGCTCCAGCCCTGGCCAAGCCTGCTGTCCTCCCTCCAGTTATCACTCTGTGCTGTGTCTTCAACTGCCGGGTGCCGCGGACCCGGAAGGAGATCGAAGCCCGGTACCTGCAGCGAAAGGCAGCCAAGATGTACACCGACAAGTTGGAGACGGTGCCACCCCTCAACGAGCTCACAGAAGTCCCCGGAGGTGAGCAGGCCCGGGCCCCAGCCACTTCCCCAGACCTGCCACCCAGTAGATTCAGGGACGGGACCCAGCTCTGTCCCTGGACACCACAGCACAGAAATTGGTCGGAGTGAGGCAGGTAAAACAGGAATCGCGCGGGCGGGCGAGGTATGGAGGAAGAAGAAAGGGAAGGCTTGGATCGGGAGCTGCGATGCGAACCCTAGAATGCTGTCTCACCCCTGTGACATGCCTCTTTACCCCACAGATGATAAGAAGAAGAAGAAGAAGAAGGACAGCGTGGACACAGTGGCCATCAAGGTAGAGGAGGACGAGAAGAACGAAGCCAAGAAGAAAGGAGAGAAATGAGGAGTTTCCTGGAGGTGGCAGCTGGGGCTGGCAGGCGCTGGGGCCCACGTCCGCCAGGGCCCAGGCATCTTGGACTCCGAGCTCAGCCGTGGACCATGAAGGGTGTAGATTCCACACTGCAGAACATCCTCCCTCTGCTCAGAGGGGGTTGCAGAGGCCCGTGGCCACGTCCTTATGGCCAGTCAGGGGCAGGAACAAGACTGCCGGTGTCCTGCCTCCCTGTCTGGACTCCGCTCCTTTTACCCCATCCACATGCCGCTCGGCCAAGCTGGTCCAGGGCCACTGTCCCTCTGAGATCCAGAGCAGCCTCACCCCCGCCCCAGACATGCCTCGGTCCTACCCTTCGGCAGAAGCGGCAGTGGCTCTGAAGGGGTGAGGGGATGTGGGGGTCGCTCGGGGAAGGTATGGACATGGACGGTCGACAGGAAGCTGTGGCCCGGGAGGTTCTCAGACCTCTCCAGGTAGCAGTCCTGGGGACGAGGGGTCCGCCTCGAGCCTGCAGGGGGTTCTGGTCCAGCGGGGTGAGCAGCAGCCAGAAGCAGGAGAACCCCCAGCCCGGACCAAGCTCCTGGCAGAGGGGTGCAGGGTTTACTTTTGGGGACGCAGCTGAGACTGCAGAGGCCAACCTGAGGCTGGGGGCTCAGGGCTGGGGCTGCAGGGTGGGTCACGGGGACAGAAGGCTGCAGCCAACACATGGGGGGAAGAAGGGGCGAGAGCTGGCATCTGGCCCCATCTTAGGAATCCAGGGAGCGTTTGAGAAGTCAGGGAGGCCCTGGGGTGTGCTGTGACCCTTTCTCTGCTCAGCTGTGGCGGAGGTGTCAGGGCCCCAGGGCATCACTGCAGGGGCCCTTAGGGGTTGGGGCGTCCTCCGCCCTCCTGAAAGAAGTGCCTGAAAGAAGCACTGCTGATGGGAAGGCCCACAGGCCACCGGGCGCCATCCCTGGGGCAAGAGAGGCGCGTCCAGGCGGCAGCCGCACCAGCCGAGGCATTCAGACCGGGGCCTGGGACAGACACAGAGGTTTCGGAGCCGGGGAGCTGCTGGGGAGGCTGGCGCTCCCCCTGCAGCCTGCAGATCTGTAAATAAAGCTGAGTGCCTTCTTGTACCCAAACGACCTGAGTGACCAGTGCTGGGTGGCAGAGGCCAGGCCGAAGTTCCCTTTCTGGAATCAGGATGAGCTGGAGGGAGCGACAGTGACCAAGAGCAAACGGGCAGCTTTGGCCAGCTGGGCTCCACCGAGGCAGGGCAGCAGGGCCAGGGAGGAAGCTGCCAGGGAGGCCTCCTTACTCCCCTCCACTCCACCCTTTGGTTTCAATAGGCCCCAATGCTCTGTGCTGGGGAAACAAGAGTCAAACCTGGCTCCTGACTGGGAGCAGCGATAGGGCAAAGGCCATGCTACCCACACCGACCAGAGCCCTCCTGTGCGGACAGGCAGCAGAGGCCCAGAGGGGCAGGGGCCACTTGAAGTCAAACAGGGGAGCAACTGGTAAAGCTTAGGGTAGTCCAGGCCCAGGCTCCCTGACCTCTGACCTGGGCTTCCATTAGCCCTTTCTGGACAGGCATGGCTGCTGACAGTGGGGATAATTTCTGACCCCAGTGGGCACCTGCCCCAGTCTCCAGGCAGGAGGTGCTTCAGGGCAATGACAGGGTGTGTTCTAGCCCCTGGCCAGGAATCAGCTACAGTCGGAGAGCCTGACTCCCACCAAAGTCCCACAGAAAACACTCAGCTCCCTGCCCAGACAGAGCTGCCCCTCCGTCCTCACGCTGTGTCCTGGCAGCACCAGCTTCGGCCTGGGCAGTACGTTCTAGGTCCTCCCTCATTTAACCCAGTGCCATCCCTGCACGCACACTCCCTCCACCCTCCGCAGGGGCCACCCCTGCCTTCTCTGTGGAGGCCAGTCCTGGGCCTCTGTACCTTTCGGCGCCAGAATCCCCATCCCACCCCCATCTGGCTGTCATCCCAGAGAGCGAGGGGCCTCCAAGGCCCAGGAAGGAGGAGGCACGAGGAAGAGAACTGCTTGTTTTTATTTTTTTTCTTTATTGATTTTAGAGAGAGAGGGAAAGGGAGAGAAACTTTGATGAGAAAGAACACTGATTGGCCACCCCCTGCATGTCCCCCACTGGGGATCGGGCCCACAACCCAGGCATGTGCCCTGACCAGGAATCGAACTGGCGACCTTTTGGTGCACGGGTTGACGCTCAACCAGTGAGCCGCACCGGCCGGGCGGAAGAGAACTGTTTAGTTGAGCACCTAGTATGTGCCCTGCCTGTGGGGTTAGGGGAGCAGCACTTGTATGTTCTGGACACAGAGGATGAGGGGGTCCTGGGGAGCGAGGGCGCCCCCAGGTATGGCCTGAGAGTCAGTGGGCAGCAAGGAGGCTGAGAGGCAGCGGCAGTGCCAGGAGCAGGGCCCTGGATGGGGCTGGCCGAGCCTGCCCGCTGATGCGTTCCCAGATCCAGTGCTGGTAGGAGGCGATGCTCAGGAAGATGGGCGGGGCCTCGCTCTGACCACAGCCCGGGCCCCAGCTCACCATTCCCACCAAGAACCAAGTGTCATCCACAGGGCAGGTCAGTGGCTCCCCACTTATCTCCTGCAGGAAGGAGGGGCAGGAGGACGAAAGGGTCAGGGAGGCCAGATGTGGCCTGAAGGAGACGTGACCCAGCCAGGGACAAGCAGGGTGCCCTCACACCAGGTCTCCCCCAGCCCCTGGTGCCACATGGCCGAGGTGCCCAGGAGACCTTCCACAGAGGGTGCATCTCCCTTCTCTCCGGTGCCAGTCCTCCATCCCCCCTCTTTACCACCCTCCAGTTCCCACCATCCCCACTCTCCCACCCAACCTCTCTTTCCTCCGTCCGTCTCCCCTTCCCCATCTTCCTGCTTGACCTCCTCCCTCTCCTCTCCCTCCACCCCTGCGCCCTCTCCCCAGTCCTGGCCAGCGCCTCGGAGGTCAGTGAGCCAGGGACAGGTGCTCACATAGCAGAACTGCTCCCTGTCGGTGTCTTCCGCACAGATCAACTGGGAATTGATGATCCGAATCACGGACGGGATTTTGGAGAACTTGTGGTAGAAGTCTTCACACTGCTCTTTGTTCAGGATGGTGACGTCCTTCTCCACAATGGTCCGGGACTGGGGCCACTTGCCTGTGGGACAGGGGCCCCACTCAGGCCCGGTGGCTTCACTGCTGCCCACCGCCACCAGCCTTGTCGCCAACCTCCCTTTGCTCCTCGCCGCCCCTCCAGCCTCTTCTGCCAGCCACACGGCAGCGCTGGGGGCCTCTGCGGGCTCAGCCCACCTGCCATTCCAGCTACTCTTCCAGCAGCGGGCGGCCCGCCATCTGGCCGCCGGACCTGGTCCTGCTTCCCGCAGAGTCCGACCCGCTGAATCCCTTCCTACCTCAGCACCTTGGCTTGTGCCCTTCCTTCTGTCCCGAATGCCCCCCAGAGCTTGCCCAAATGCTCCTCCATGGGTCCCAAGCACTTCTCACTCCCCCCACCCCCACCCCCGTCTCTGTCCCTAGCCTGAGCTCCCGGGGGACAGGAGACTTCCAACCACTCCCAGTCCCTCCCAGACAGTCCAGGCAGTGAAGACAGCCGTCCTCTCCCTCCCCTGGGCTGGAGCCCCTGTGAGCTGTGTTTTGTTTGTTTGTTTTTAATCCTCACCCGAGGATATTTTTCTATTTATCTGCAGATAGAGTGGGAGGGAGATAGAGAGAGAAAGGAAGAGAGAGAGAAACATCGATGTGAGAGAGACACATCTACTGGTTGCCTCGCGCACGATCCTGACCAGGGCCAGGGATGAACCGCAACCGAGGTACATGCCTTTGGCCAGAATGGAACCCGTGACTCATTGGTCCATGGGCCGACGCTCTCCTGCTGAGTCAACCCAGCCAGGGCTCCTGTGGGCTGTTTTTAGGCAAGTTGGCTCCGTGAGGCTAAGGGAAGGACACTCCTCTAGTGGGAAAGGATGGGGTCCCTGAAGGAAGGGGACATTCCTGGGCTCATAAGGAAATGGACACGTGGGTGGCAACACTCCTGCTCTTTGGGCCTTGCTCCTAAATTGGGGTGACATGAACTGAGGACCACTGGGGGACCCTGAGTGACTCCCAACCTCTGGGTGCAGACTACCCTTGGCCAGCCATGTGGGGTCCTCTGCGGAGCTTTTTATAGACACGGAGCCCAGCTCCTAACACCTTGGATGTTCTGCCTCGAGTCATGGATACCCCGGAACTGTCCCGCTTACATGCCTTGGGCTGGGCCTGAGTGTGCTTGGGCAATCTCTGCCCCTAAGGCCTAGACGGCCATGACCCACTCACTGCTGAAACCTTCAAGGCAAAGACGACCTTGGATATAAAAGCTTCACAAGAAGGTCGGGGCAGCAGGCTCCTGGGAACGATGGCTCAGAAACATCTGTCCATGGCAGACCCCAGCCTGCACCCAGGTCCTCTCCCATAACACCCACTCTGGTCAGGGAGCCTCTGACTCACCGTTAGCCCCAGGGAGCCCCCAGCCTGTCACGGTGCAGACCGATTGGTCCTTCACCTCGTAGTCCAGGCCAGGCAGGCAGATGGGCCAGATGTACTTGCTGTACTTGAGTCCCTTCTCAAGCTGGAGGAGGGCGATGTCGTTGGCCCGGCCGACCCAGGACCATAAACGATGGGGCCGGAACCGGCTGTTCACGATGACCTGGCGCACCAGGACGTCAGAGGTAGTCTGAGACGTCTGGTCAATCAAGGGGCTCCCCGCCCGTACAGAATAAGTAGCATCATGCCTAAAGGAACCAGGGAAGTCTGCCGTCAGCTCCAGGCGCTCCAGCCCGGCCTCCACCCATTATTGTGCTTTGAGAAAATCCAGGCAGGCCATCGACCTGCTACAAGGCCCCTGAGCCTACTCGGCACAATGGATGCGATCAGGCCCTGCACACACAGTGAGTTTATATCCTCACAACAACCATTCACTTTTGTGGAGGGGAAACCGAGGCTCAGAGAAACCCAGTGGCCAGCTCAAGGCTACACAGCTAGGAGGTGGTGGAGGTGGGATTGGACCCAGCTTTCTCTGTTTCCAAACTCTGGATTCTGTCCAGCATCCCAAGATGGGCCCCATGTAATCAACCCTGCCCTACCCTCTGGCCTCTGTGTTGACCCTTAGGCTTGGTCAGCCCTTGTGGCCAGCACAGATGTTCCCTCAGGCCACTCCTCTGGACCGGAACATGGGTGTGCCTTCTCTCGCCCCCACCCCGACTAGGCACCCCTGTGAGCATCTATTATTTTGTCTGTCTGCCCAGCAACCTGAGAGAAGTGATGTGTCCCTCTTTGCACTTCGTGCCCAGGCCGAGGCCTGGCTTCCAGGAGTGTCAAAGGCTATTGGCTGAATGAAGGAAGGAACGAGTGAAGCAAGGGGTGTGGAATGAAAGAATTAGGACCTTCTTTCTGTGGACAGGAGGAATGAAGCCTGGACAGTGGCTTCCACACCCCCATTTCCAATCTGTGGGAGACTGCACAGGACTGGGGGCTCCAGGGAGGGGAGCAAGCTCCTGCTCCCAGGAAAGAATCGGTAGAACTCAGCCCCCACCTGCTTGGAGCTGGGGTGAGGCTGGGCCGAGGACTGTGGGGTTCTGCCACGAATGGGCCAGCTGGTGGGAGGATTGGGCCCCTTTTCATCCGCCCACCCAGGCCCCGACTCACTGGATCAGGCAGTGGGCCACGGTCAGCACCCACTGGGAGGCAATGAGGGTGCCTGCGCAGATATGTGTGCCATTGGCCTGCACACTGACCATCCACGGCCACCTCCGGGCTATGGAAGCTGGGTCCCTGAGGGTCGGGTCCTGCTCCTGGGATGTGCCGCAGACTGAGGAGGAAGGACAGAGCATGATGAGGGAAGGGACCGTCCAGCCACATCCCATGGCACCGTCCCCTCCCTCCCCAATGCTTGATCTCCCGCCTCTCCAGTTTCTGGCCCAGACCCATCCAGCAACGGTCCTTTTCTACTGGTCATCATGTAATGATGCTGTCCCCTTGTAGACTGAAGTATCCTACCTCAGAATGGCCTCGGCACTCCCCACGTACCCCTCTCCCTGTCCCCACTGCTCAGGGCCTTTGTCCTGGCCAGACCCCTCACGAACTCGATCGTGTTTCCATCTGGTTCCCCACCTTCGGGCAAGGCAGACCCCCTCCCCACTCTGGGAAGCCCCTCCTGTGATTCAGTGAGAGAAAGACAGATGACCTAACAGGAAAATGGCCTTGTTGCTTGAACGGAGCTGGGGGGAGAGGGGGGAATCCCAGCAGCAGAAGCACAGAGCCCACCAGTCCTCAGGGAAGGGCGGACTTGCGTGGTTCCTTCCATCTGTGCCCCTGCGGGGCAAAACTAAATGCCCCTGAACCCAAATGTGGGTGAGGATTAGTGCCTTAGACCGCTGCTCTGCTGGAAGGGTGTCGGTGGGTGCAGACATTCTGGAGAAGATTTTAAACTGCGCACGCACACACCCAACATCACCGCAGCTGCACTGCGCGCCTGAGCCGGCGGGGCGTCTGGAAAGGTCAGTGCTGCGGGTTCCTGCCTGTAGGTGTGGGTGGCAGTGCAATTGTGTGAACCGAGTTCTAGGATACGAAATATTTCCCGAGTGGGTCTCAGTCAGTTACACATGCTTGAAAGCCACTGTTCATGACACGTGTGCATGCGTGCCCCAAGACACCCATGGGAGGGCTCCCCGAAAGCTTTGCGGGTATCCCCGAAGCCGGGGCTGGGAGCAGGGGCAGGAGCAGACCCCAGGCTCCTCCCACTTCCGGTGCCCTCCACCTCACCAGGGTGGGAGGCCTGGCCCATAACAGGTGATCAACAAACCCTTGTGGAAGGCAGGTTGGGCCCTTCTCACTCCTCCCTGCCCCGTCCTCCTCTGTCCTTTCTGTCCCCAGGGATCAGAGGTCGTGAAAACTCCGACACCCTCCGCTCCGTGGAGCCCACTGTACTCACTGGGAGGCAGGCCAGTGTTGACTTGAGAAACAGGGGCCTTCTTCGTCGTGAGCGTCTGCAGGGTCGGCTGGGTCGGCTGGGTCGGCTGGGTCGGCAGGGTCGGCTGGGTCGGTTGGGTCGTCAGGGTCTGCAGGGTCGGCTGGGTCGTCAGGGTCTGCAAGGTGGGCTGGGTCTGCAAGGTCGGCTGGGTCGTCAGGGTCTGCAAGGTCGGCTGGGTCGTCAGGGTCTGCAAGGTCGGCTGGGTCTGCAAGGTCGGCTGGGTCGTCAGGGTCTGCAAGGTCGGCTGGGCCGTCAGGGTCTGCAAGGTCGGCTGGGTCAAAGTCGGCAACGTGTTGGTGACGACCTGCCGAGGGAGGCGAGGCCCACCGGGGCAGGTAGCACTGGGGTCACAGGGGGCGCCAAGATCCGAGGGTGCAGCCGTGGACAGTGCCCCTGAGGCATCATCTGCACCCGAGAGACCTGTGGACGGATGCAGAGGGTCAGAGAGAGCCGCACGGCCCGGGGTGGGGGAGGGGCGGGGCGCGCTCACCTGCTGGCGGGAGCAGCAGCAGCAGGAGGCCAGCCCGGGCCAGGGCAGGGGCAGGTGTCTTGCCCCAGGGGTCCATGTATCCGGGGTAGCAGCAACTGAGCGGCAGAGCTCCTCTGGCGATGGCGCCCCCCAAGGCTGCCTGCGACGGCTTCTGGTGTGTGGTGGTGTGGGCGTCCCTGGTTCCAGCGCACGCGGCGCCCCCCAGCGGCCACCCGCAATGGTGCTCCTGGTGTCCTGCCCGCGAGGGCGCCCCCTAGTGACTGGCCTCCCCCGTACCTGCCGGACGGGTGCCTGGCCTGAGGGCACCCGCGAATTGCCCGGTTTCATCTGGTCTCGCTTCTGTCCCCTGGTTTCCTCACTCCGCTTGGCCACATAGTTTCCTGGAGCCTCTCAACTAACCTCGTCAGGTCCTGTACCTCCTGCCTCTACTGCCCCGGGCGGTCTCTGCTTTCTTTCCCCTGGTGAGATGGCCCAAGCCCTGGTGCTGACCCCCAGGATTTCCAGGTGGCGCCCCTTCCTCTCCAGCCTGGTAACTACAGTGGGCCTCTGCACCGGGTTGCTGAAATTAAGCAGATTGAAACGTGCTCAATAAAGATTTTAAAACATTGCAAAATTTTAAGCAGCGCCCTGCCCTCCCCAGTCAAAACTTCATTCAGCAAATGCCCTTCCCTTACGCATCCATCTACTTAGGAAGATGGCACCACCACTCACAAAGAATGGGGATGACCATCACGCGCTCCTGGGAGCAGAAGGCCACTATGCATGTTGCAGTTTGGGGAACTTTTTTTTTTATCCTGACCCAGGACATTTTTCCATTTTTGTTCAGATAGAGTAGGAGGGAGAGAGAGGAAGTGAGAGAGAGAGAGCGAGAGAGAGAAACATTGACGTGAAAGGGACACATCGAGTGGCTGCCTCCCACACAACCCTAAGGGGGGCCGGGGACAAACGGCAACCGAGGTACGTGCCCTTAGTGGGAACCCAACCCGAGAGTCTCTGGACTGCGGGCCAACGTTCCAACCACTGAGCCAAACCGGCCAGGGCAGTTTGGGGAACATTTTGATGGCTCTGTGACAAAGACGGATAATACATTTAAAAAGTAGTGTGGGGGCCCAGCTGGGTTGGCTCAGTGGTTGAATGTCGACCCATGGACCAAGAGGTTGCTGGTTGGATTCCCAGTCAGAGCACATGCCCAGTATGGAGCATGCAGGAAGTGGCCAATCGATATTCTCTCTCATCGATGTTTCTATCTCTGTCTCCCTCTCCCTTTATCTCTCTCTAAAAATAAATAAAGAAAAAAATTTAAAGAAAAAAGTAGTGTGGAAGCCCTGGCCAGTATCGCTCAGTGGTTAGAGCGTCTGCTTGCGGACCAATGAGTTGCAGGTTCGATTCTGGTCAAGGGCACATACCCTGGCCCTGGTTGGTGCCGTGTGGAAGGCAGCCACTCGATGTGTCCCTTTCACATCGATGTTTCTTTCTCTCTCCCTCTTCTTCTCTCTCCCATTCTATCTGAAAAAAGTGGGGGGGGGGGAAGGATTAAAAAAAAAAAAAGTAGTGTGGGGAAAAGTCTATGAGAAGCTTTGGTTCAAAGCTGTTGGAAAATTCTAGCCTAATAAAAGATAAGGTCAAAGTGAAATCGAACCAGGACATTGGAACTTTTGCTAGGGCCTGCTGCTTGGGAAAGGCACTGGGGCTGGCCATTCAGAACTCCTCCAGTCTCTGAGAAGACAGCACGTCAAACCCACTACCTTCCTGGGACCCACAGGGCAAGGGTAGCTGTCCGCTCTGAACCCACCAGGTCTGAGGGACCCCCCTCACTCCCTCCACACTCGGGCAGGGCCCTGTCCCCTCAGTCTGGCTAGCGTGGGCCAGCCAGTCCTTGCTCTCCAGAGTCTGGTGGCGATCGCTGAGGCAGCTCAGGAACTCAGGGTGCAGTCACCTCACACAGTTCACTCGAGCAGCCCTCTGCTTACCCTCCCCCACCCTCATCATCACCCACCACGCAGGAAGAGAAGAGAAACGTCAGATTCTGCAGACCCTCAGGGGGCATGTGGGCTTGAGAGAGGCCCACAGTCTCCGGAACCAGGTTAAGTGCAGGCCTGGTCTATGTGTTGGGAAGAGGCCAACGCTCACAGGAAGACCTGAGGGAAACTATTGGGCAAGAGACCCAGCGGAGGGTCCTAGAGACCCGGGGTGGGGCTGTCTCTGAAGGGCCCCGGCTAGACTCAAGAAGAAACAGGATGACATCAATGGCAAAAAGTACAAAAGTATCTTCATTGAAAAAGTGAAAAACCAGTGGCTCTGGGACCCTCCCCCGGCACTCTGCCCTCATCTCCTGCACCCCTCCAGTCTCCACTTCTGAGGGCCGGGAGGGGAGGCAGAGGCGGCCTCAGGGACCGGCCCCTGGAAAGGCTTCTCGCAGGAGCCACAGGGAGCCCAAGGGGACCAGCAGAATGTAGCCAGTGCGCAAGACCGGGTTCAGGAAGGCGGGGCTGGCCCTGCTGATGAACTGCTGGTCGGTGATCTGCCTCTTGATCCAGCTGCTGTAGTAGGAAGTGCTGGTGTAGATGTTGGGGAAATGGTGCTGTTTGCAGCTGAAGCTCCAGCTCTCCACCCCGACCTGCATCCAGGTCTTGTTCACTTGGCAGACCAAGGAGCTGCCCGAGTTAACCTGTGGTGAGGAGGGCGGAGCCATAAGGGAGGCGGCAGGAGGGTGTCACTGCCAGCTCCGGAGGACTTGTCCCTTCCTGCACCACAGTCTCAGCCTGAGCCGTGTTAGGCCTCTGCTGTCCCTGGCGATGTGGCCTGGCTATTAAATGCTCTTCTGCTCAGTGACACAGAAGCTCTGCACTGGGGCCCAAGCTTGGGGACAACGCTGGCCTCTCCCTTCACTCTCCCGCTAACTCTCTGACCATAACTCTCTGGTCCCCTCTTCTGCCCTCTGCTTAAATCCCGGTGGGCCTCCAAGGGGGTGCCCTTGACCTTTTTCTTTCTTGCAGTCCTGCTTGCAGAGTGAGCTATTTGAAATGCAAACCAACCCCTACCCTTTTTGTGCAAAGCATGTATAAGAAGAATGTTTACGACAGCATAGATCAATCAAAAGGTAACAGCTGTTATCTCCGCTGATGGTGGGTTTGTGATCTTTTAAAAACTTTCTTTATACTCTTCTCTTTCATTGAAAAGTTTTATAAATTAGAAACAGCAGTTCTCTCTCTATAGATACAGATATGAATGATACAGATTTTTGTAACATAATGCAAACAGATTTGCAGGACATAAACTAATGAATAGTACGTAAGACACTTAAGGAAAGAAATAATAAAACTATACCTAAAAGCATAAAAGAAGACCTACATGAATGAACAAATATACCACTGTTCTTAGCTGAGTCAACTTAAGACAATATAATAATATCAGTTCTCGGCATTTGGCTCCCTAGAATATGGAAGGCTTGCTACCCAAACCAGCCTTGCTGAAGAAAACTAAATACATGAGGTTTTGTTCTGTTTTTTAATTGTCATTTTAGATGCGCGAATGAGCTGGCAAGGAAATAAAGACTCCCCAGAGCCCAGAACCCGAGAGCGCTAAACCCAGTGCACTGTCCGCAAAGCCCGGAAGATGGCTTTTGGCCCCAGGCCATTTGCCAAGCCCAGTGACACTGAGCTTTGGTTTTCACAGCTTTGTTTGTGGGTACAGGAGACAAAAGGCAAAACCCCAAGCTGCCCAAGGAGGGGAGCCTAAGAAGAAACCTCCTGCAAAAGGCTATACCCCCCAAAACAAACCACACCTTCCAAGTGAGGATCAACTGGGAACTGGGTCCTGCGAACTCACAGTTTGAATTCAGATGGTCTGGGTGGTTCAGAAAACCAGAGCCATCAACAAATCATCAAACAACAAGTGTTGGCGAGGGTGTGGAGAAAAGGGGACTCTAGTGCATTGCTGGTGGGAATGCAGACTGGTGCAGCCACTATGGAAAACAATATGGTGTTACCTCAAAAAATTAAAAATTGAACTGCCATTTGACCCAGTGATCCCGCTTCTAGGAATATACCCTAAGAAGCCTGAAACACCAATCAGGAAGAATATATGTACCCCCATGTTCATAGCAGCACTATTTACAATAGCTAAGATCTGGAAACAGCCCAAATGTCCATCAGTAGAAGAATGGATAAAAAAAGCTGTGGTACATATACACAATAGAGTACTATGCAGTTGTAAGAAAGAAAAATCTCATATCCTTTGAGACGACATGGAGGGACCTGGAAAGTATTATCCTAAGCGAAACAAGCGAAACAGAGAAAGACAAGTATCGTATGATCTCACTTATCTGTGATAATGAACATAACAGTCTCAGGAATGGGGTAGTCCCAGAGACGTGGAAGTGGGGTACAGACTGACAATCCCCAGAAGGGAGTGGTGGGGGAGAGATAAACCACAGAACTTATATGCATGTGTGCATGAACAATGGACATGGACAACAAAGCTAGGGACAGGGTGGGGAGGGGGGAGGGGGAATTAGTGGAGGGGGGAGGAGAAACATCTGTAACAAAAATAAATTGATTAATTAAAAATTAATTAATTAATTAATTTAAAAAAAAACCGAGCCAAAGATGTTGTTTAAAGTGGTCCTGGGTTGGTCATATGCCCAGGTTTCTGGCAGACATAATTTCTGCCTGAAGGAAGCCACTTTTTGAGCCATGCTTGAGAGAATTCCCACAGAGAACACAAAGGAACAAGTCCTCACTCCTAAAACATCACTGGCACACAGGGCCACGAGGAACCACGAGCAGGTGCCAGCCAGCAGAAAACACCTAGAGCAGGATCAGAGCCTCCATGCATGAGATTCAGGAAGGATCCCTCCTCGGAAGCTTCGTCGGCTCGGTGGTGAAGGTTGGGTGTTGGTTGTTTTATTCTTGTTTCTCCAAGCATATTTTATAAATATTCTTTTGTCTCTAGTTTATAATGTCAGGTCTCCTTACATTAACCTCTAAAGTTCAAGCAAGTCCAAGTAAAGTGCCAGCAGGACTTTTTCCAGGACCTTGACAATCTGATTCTAAAGCGGATGCCGAAGGATTCATAGTCCACGAATATTGTGACAGGTTGGGGGTGGGGGGTGGAAAGCAAACTGGAGAGTCAGGCTGGGCAGATTTGACCTACCAGAGAGTTAGATCTATTTCAAAGCTATAGTTGTAGAAACTGTAGTCCTGGCATAGGAACAGAAAAACCAACGGTGCCACGGAGAGCCAACGTGCTGCCTGAACGCGAGGGGACTTGGCACGTGCTCCAGTGTCACGGCTGCGGGAAAGGTCTCGTGGGTGTTTTCGGAAGTGAGGCAGAGCAGTGAAGTTGGGTCCTACCATATCAAAGCTCCAGAGGAATTAAAACCCTAAAAGTGTGAAAAGTCAAAAAGATAATGCTAATTAAAAGCAGGTAGGGCCATGACCTTCTGGCTTGGGCTGAAGCATACGTTTTAAAATAAGACTCAAAACCCACCCACCTGAAGAGGGGAAATGTGTTAGACTCCATTACATCAAAATTAAGACTCTGTTCAGGGAAGGACACCAGAGCTCATCGAAGACAGATGATGAATTAAAGGGCATTTGCTCTGCCTACAACCAACTAGAGGTCAATACTTAGCATGTCTAAGGAAACCCTAAATATTAAGTAGAGAAAGATTTTCAAGAAAGATTGAAGGGTTTTGTGCCCAGATTACAGTTGCCAGCTCCTGAGACTTTGGTGAGGCGGGGACCCCAGAAGAAGGAGATGGGTAGGACTTGGTGAGGTTGAAATCAAACCAACTTTTAAACGGAGACTTATAATAGGACAGGGTATTTATTTAGTGACTGAAAATGATGGACTCTGCCCAAAATGATGTTTGGGAGAGAGAGGAAGATTTGACAGGGCACATGGGGGCAATGGCTTGAAAGAATAAAACCACTTAACGTGGATTCTCTAATGCACTGCAACATCTCAACCAACAAGCCCCAAGACAGGATGGGCAGTGCTGCACCATTTATGCCAATTAAAATACACAGGTGGCAGCGCTATGTATTTTTCAAGATACAGACATCTTTAAAGACATGTATTAAACAGACTCGAGTAGGAGCCTTTTTGCAGGGAGAAAAAATGGAAGATGAGGGGGGAAATCAAGCCAGTGATGATCAAGCCGTGAGAGTGGGCGGGGCCTTATTCAGGAGATACGGTCAGCTGAACTCTGGGAGCCCAGAAGGAAGAGACTCGAGAGACTGGGGACTGAGGGGAAGAGAGACTCTCTCATGTGGACATTCTCTCATCACAGTGAAATAACCAGAACCCAATACCAAAATATGAACCACCTCATCAAAAGAGGAAAAAATTAACTCTCAAAAATCTTCAAGTAAAAACAGAATTAAAATGTACAATTAGACTGTAAAAAGATGAGACCACGATAGATCGCAAAGCCCATAGGACATGGGCCTGAATTACACATAGAAGAGTCCCGGTCTAAATACTTTTAATATCAAGTGAGAGAATAAAAATAAATTATTTGTTATCATCATCAATTCTTTATCACTGCACAGTCAGCTGAAGATACTTGAAAGGCAATTCATAAAGACAAAAAGGGGATAACTCATGCATTAGAAAGCAGAAAAGTCCTAGGCTTCAGAAATAAAATCAATAGCTTGTTCTTAGAAAACAACAAAATAGCCCTGGCCGGTTTGGCTCAGTGGCTGGAGCATCGGCCCATGGACCAAAGAGCTGAGAATTCAATTTCCGTCAAGGGCAGGTACCTCGGCTGCTGTTCGATCCCTGGCCCTGGTCAGGGTCATGTGGGAGGCAGTTAATGATGTGTCTCTCTCACATCGATGTTTCTCTCTCTCTCTCCCTTCCTCCCTCCCTTCTCTCCCTTCCTGAAGATCAATGGAAAAATATCCTCCACTGAGAATTTAAAACAACAACAACAACAAAATAGATAAGCACCTTGTAGGTCTCACCAAGAAAAACAGCAAGAGAAGGGAAACGCACATATTTCATGGTGTTAGGGGAAAAGAGACCAGAACCACATCCAGGGAGAATATATTTTCTCAGAATCTGAAGGATGTTTATAACTTTCTATGTATAATTTAAATTCTGGATGATAGGAATCATTTCTAAGGTAATGCAAATCCTGGCAGTGCAGTAACCATGAGCAATTTAAAACATTGCCCAAGAACTACCCCTCGCAGGCAGACAGGCTTCTGTGATTTCACAGGCCACTTCTATCCGGAGTTCAAGGAGCAGATAATTTGTTATTTCAAATGTTCCAGAACATGGGACACTTGTGAATCACATGAAGCAGCCTTGAGTCTGTAACTGGACAAAGAGGGTGCCTTCCTCAACACACCTTAAACTGGAGCCTCGCTGGAGGGGAAACAAGACAACTACGTGGATTCTGAGCCACAGAACTGCTTGTTCCCAGGCCAGTACCTTTCCCGGGGCCGTGCTCCAACATTATCCTGTACCCGGCCCAGGACCAAGCGCAGAGTGTCTGTTGAGTGAATCAATAAATTAAACGTGTTCTAAAATACATAGATTATAAATCTGAATCAACAGAGGAATGAAACAAAAGTACACCGTGACCAGGGAGGGATGACCGGGCACGGAAGGTAGATGGATATGAGGAACGTGTTCTCGCAGTGACTCAGCACGCTG